TTAATTATTATTCAATTCAAACCAAAATGCCTTAAGGTGTGTAGGACACTGTTAGGGAATTGTACGTGGCATCTGGGATATCACTCGAGTAAGGTTTATTAAAGTAAGGGAAGGGTAAATAAACAAAAAGCAATTTACTTTAGTAGTGACACTGTTCGTGATTTGTTCACTTGCGTCTGTGTCTTTGGTTCCGCCCTTCGTGTTATTCAAGCAATACAAGTCGGGAAATGAGCGTGATTTCTGTCCCGTCTATCTTGTTTTCTGTCGTGTTTTAACTACGTTTTTTGTATCAATTAATATCAACAGTACCCTGGTACATTTCATTTAGGATGATCCAGACATGTGATGTGCTACGTCACGACAGTGTATGTTATACGTTGTAGTATCACCCATGTCTAGCACGTAGCAAACAATTGAAACTATAAATTTGTCCCTATCATTATTTTCATTTTTTTAAATATAGTTCTCGGAACACTGTTTTATCATGTCTAATTCAAAATCGTTAGAATTGTTCCATAATTGAACGTGTTCAAAGTTTCCACTCAGAATGATATTTACGGAAAAAGTTCCTCAATGCCCCCTCACCCCTAACACTCCAGTCCCGCAATGTAATTCAATATGCCCGTCAAATAATAAATAAGTGACCCAAAAAATGGATATATACAATTGAAAGAGAGGGGAGATACTTGAGAGGCTGTGTTAGGATTAGAGTAACGGGTAATGGGATCCGGAGGAACTCTTATCCTATACTAACTCAGAGTCAACTATCGGGGTAAAGTGATATCACGTTTTTTACAAAAAAATGAATCCGCGACCCCAATTTTTTTCGTATATGACATTCTAAAGCAATTGGCTATATAGTAACAAAGTATCAGAGATGTCCAAGAACTTTAATGGAACTGTCTGGATTGCCCTAAAATTTAGAAGTTCTTCTTAAAATTAGATAAAGTGACTCTGGACGATTTTAACGATTGAAAGTTTTTCACCGTTTTATCAGCATTAAAACATACGGGATATGCGCCCTCATGCGGCATTATTTTTATAGCACGTGCTCTCAATATAACTTGAAAGAATATGAGTAGGGTCTTAATACAACAATTATATATATCTATATATATATTAATTTTTAAAATATTGTATAAGAAATGTTCATATCACGAAAACATTAATTATCGACGTCTCGTAAACTGACCTGCAGCTTGATTATTCCAGTCAATATGCATCTAGTTCTGATACTAATTGCAACAAGTGGTCTTTTTGTGGTAACAGGTCACAAATAACCGGCCAAAACAATATATACTGAAATCTAAGTATGGAAAAGTTGTTAAATATAATAATGCCATCTGTCCACTATTTCACCAAAAGCAAATGGTTATTCTCGTCAGCGTTTATATAACATCTCGAATTTAATAATTAAAAACACGTGTGATAGCTTGTGCCAATAATATCTGTCTAATCGCTGGATACAC